CTCAATTCAAATTTTAAAAGGATAAATTTCATTTTTGGTTCTCAACTTTAATGTTATATATAATTTTCATCCTTTAATTTTTTATGTACTTTTTTAGTCTATTTTTCATTTTTTTCAGTCTTTTTATCAATTATTTTGTTAAATTTGTCTAAATATACACATTTTTAGTCCCTTAATTTAAAGTAGATGGACGAAAAATATACATATATTAGAACTTAAGAGACTAAAAATGATCATTTTAAACTTATTTTTAATTTATAAGAATATCATAATTTTAAATATTAGTATTTCTTATCTTATTTTAAAGTTTGATATTTAATTTATAAAAATATATATTTATAGCGATAAATCTGAAACGGTACATGAAAATTTTGGTATCCAATACGTACCGTTTCAGTAGCAAAACCAGTACGCATACAAATATGGTATTGACTACTTTGCTGTAAACTCAACTTTCACAATATTTTTTTATTGTTAAAATATGTTAGTATTTGATACTAATTATTTTGAAAGAGTAGTATACATATACATATACGTGGTATATGATTATCAAATATATCATTACTTAAAATTAATTTAAGAGAAAAATGTTTATTAATAATACTTTAAAAATAATCATTTTAATAAATATTCAGCAAAAAAACTAAAATATCTTATTTTTTATGTTGTTTCCTCGCTCTTCCATTGTCTATATTAAAAAATGTTTGTGGCCAAAACATTAGTGCCACAACTTCTAACATTAAGGTCCTTTTGCTTGGCAGAAAAATGATTTCTACAATTTATTTTCTATATTGATGAAAACAACGAATTGACGAAAAAATTTCAAACCTTTAATTCCATTGTAAAATCTTTTGAGGAGCTCTTTGAAAGTTCTTTTGGAGCCAAGGGCAATTTTTTAAATAACTCAAATATTTTTCTAGATTTATTAAGATTCATATAATCAGAAAGGAAAAACCTAATTAATTACTAATGTTAACTATAATATCCCAAAATTTTGTGATATTTTAGCACTTAGTTAAGGACTTGCCTGTGAGGAAATATTATTCTGGGACTTAATTGCCAAAATTTTGAAATTTGAGGGACTTAAAAGAGGAAAGAATTTGGATAAGGATCAGCTATTTTTTTCTCCTTTTCCTCTTTCTTTTTCAGCCCGATTCTGCTCTTGTTCTTCATCCCCGACAGCCCCCCAAGCCCCTCCAGCTACCGACTCATTTCTTTGAGAAAATTGGTGACGAAGCTTGAAATTTCTCCTTCTTTCTTGCTCAATAACAAGTTTTAGGACTTAGAACTCTCTCCCTCAACCCAGAAATCCCGGATCTGCTCTGCTTCTTCCTCCCTTGTCCGTCGGTTTCTGCTAAGTGGGTTTGAATTTTTGGGCTTTTTCTGGTAAGCAACAGCCATGAACTTCATCTTTTTAGCTTGATTTAGCTTGGGTTCATTTTAAATCTGTTGTTTCTTCAAATTTTGGTAGCCTCGTGAGCTTCCCCTGCACTTCCCGCCGGTTTCCCCTAGCTTGCAGCTCCGGTTTGCTTGCTGGAAAATTATGGTATGTGACAGCCTTTTATGCCTAAAATTATCCATTTAATTTGCTGCCTTTGTGATGTTCAAAATTCTGCAGAAAAAGGGATGAATTCCGGTAGCTTTAGGACAAAATTTAAGCATTGATTCAAGTAGAATTTATGTGTTTGAGTGTTAATTAGCTACTGTGAGATTTTGGAGAAAAATCCCATGAGATTAGCTATGGTTTTGCCAATTTTTGGAAGTTGCAGTTACTGTTTATTACGTGATTACTGTTCACGCACTAATGGCCAACAATAGGAGGGTTTAAATGTGTAGTTATACTGAGAATAAAATTGAGATGTTCGGTCATATGGGTATTAATTTTTGAATATTTGATTAGGTACTTGATTGCTCTGTCACCCCAACACTTGGAGTGAATTTTCAGTATTACGTGATTTGAGGTAAGTAAATGATAACTTTAAAAATATATTTTAACTTGTTTTTGAAATAGTGACAGAATTAAACCCGTTTTACATATGATCAATTTGAAATGAAATTATTATTCTTTAGTTTAAGCACCATTTTGGTTCCTCAACTTTTCATTTTAGTATTAAAATTATCTTTTAACTTTAAAAAGTATCAAAATTATCCTTAAATTTTTATTTTCGGTACCAAAATAGTCCTTCTGTTAGTGACAGATGAAACGTTGAAATGTCAACAAATCATTTTTTTTTTTCTTAACTAATGACATGGAAAAAAAAAACATAGTTGGCATTTTTTTTTGACTTGGCATTTTCATTTAATTTAACAATAATACTTTTTTTTTTCATCCACGTCCAAAAAAAAATTCTCTTCTTCCTCCTTCCCTTTCTCTCTCCTTTACCTTTCCTTTCCCTTATCTGCAAACCCAGATCTGGATCTTCCTCTCTCAAACCCAGATCTGGGCAAGGAGGAAGTCCATCGCAAGGAGCTTCGCCATTCGCCCTTCTTGCATCCTCCTTTATCGAAAACAACTGCTCCACTAAGCTCTTCTTGTGCGACATCGAGTTCCGGGAGACGCAGTCCTCGTTTCACCTTTTCGGCGTCAACTCACTCCCGCACATTCATCTTGTCGGTTAAATGGCTAGATCTGTGAAAGATGACTCAGAGCCGATGGATCAGAGCAACTTCTCACGGATGGCTGAGTCCATGGTTGACTCACGGATGGCTGAGTCCTTTAACATGACTGACAAAAAGCATGGAGCTTGAGTTGTGTTTGCTACTTCAGATTCATAATTTGGTGTATATTTTTGTGCAAAGTTGTGAAATTGTTGCCTATGCTGGATAATTGTGGTGAGCTTTAACATTTGCTGATACAATGAAGTGCATTATATTTGTAATATTAAAATCCATTTTTCATTTCGGAACATCAAAGATGGATCTGTAATTTGCTTAGGCCAAAGCCAGATTTTTCTTTTTGTTAATGGTAAAAGCTAATTTCTGTATCCCTAAGTACTTGATTTCATATGATTGTGGAATGAAAACGCATGTTTATTTTCATCACAGAGTTTGGTGGGTTTGAGAAAAACCCAGAGTTTGGTGGGTTTGAGGAAAACCCATCTGCACAATTTCAGTGGCGGTGCTTTCAGGCATCAATATGTGCAGAGGGAACCTGGGTATGCTTTGAGATCCAAGTACTGGGGCAAAGGGATCGCGACACAGGTTGTGGAATTGGTCGTCGAAAGCATATTCAAGAACTGGCCCCATCTAGAGAAGCTTGAGGCGCTAGTGGATGTGGAGAATATTAGGTCGTAGAGGGTGTTGGAGAAAGCTGGGTTTACGAGGGAATGGGTTTTGAGGAAGTATTATATGCTTAAGGGAAGAACAAGAGAACCCAGATCTGGGTTTGAGAAAAACCCAGATCTGGAGAGGAAGAAGAAGGGAGAAGAGAGCGAAAGAATAAGAAGAAGGA